CAAGACATCCTTCGAAAGCGTAAAAATCAAACATTTTAGCACGCATCACTGAGATTTTTTCGGACCATTTGAATTGTGTGTGTGTGTGTGTGTGTGTGTGTGTGTGCGGGTTTGAGTGAATGTGTGTTTTGGGTCAAGTCCTTGAGTCCTGTCTACGCTTGAGTGTCATTTTCAATCAAGTGGACAGAGCAACTTAAATAATAGTTTTGTTATTTTTTTTTTTTTCTTGATTTTGAGTCCGTTTGTTACTCTGATTGTGTTTTCTATTTTTTTTGTCCAAAACATGTTGATTATTTCATGAAACTTAAGTTGTTTGTTTTCCCGTTCCAGAACTAATGATGGCTTCATTCGACTGCGAGGAACCTAACAATGCTGAGAAGCTTATGTACGATTTAAACTAGGCTATTTACCATAGAATATATGTAGGCTAAACTGAATAATATACCAACTAAGGATGCATTTAATGTTAACTACAAACAAATTTGTAAATACATACTAAAGTAGGTATTGCACACGGAGACATTAAATAGCAAAGGATAAGTAGCTAACAAAAAACAAATTAGCTGTATAAACTATTAAACTAAAGTAATACTTGTGTATATGGAAACTAATTGAATAAATATGATCATGTTTGGCATACATTGCTTTAAAATGTGACTTTTAAATTGAAAATAAAAGAAGAAAAATAAAAGGTAAATACAGCAGTTTCAAGTTCGATATACTTTCGAAGGCCAACCATCAGACAGGGGCACGTGCCCAGCAGAAGTTGATCAATAACATCTGTGCAAAGGTGGTCGAACGTGAAAATGATTGGATAATTTTGGACTTTGGTAAACAATGGAGCATGTGAACTGCTGCTAAAGTAAATAAGAAATTGTTACGGGTCAACGTATCTTATCTAATTTAATAGTAGCATCAGGATATGTAAGTTTGAGTATCCTTGCAAAGGTATGTCTCCAATTATTTTAACTATATATATTCCGGATTAGCATCAAACGATCAAAAGATACTTTTATTTTTTTAATATTGATAAGCTGCAGACTGCAACGTACGTAGGTTTCTTTCTTATTTTCAATATTTTCATATGACGAACTTTATTTGGCAGAATTATTACTTTCAAAATGAAACATCAAACATAACAATTTTTCAGCTGTACAAAAATGTATGTTTAATGGACAAAATCTATGAATTCTTAGTTTATATAAAAACATTTATTAATAATTTTATAAACCACGACGAAAGTGAATACTCACATACATACAAACTATAATTATTATAGAGAAAAAGGTTAAGGAAATTAAAAAAAATTACAGACCAAAGGACCTTAGTCTTTAGCATTTTATCCCCTACTACTATTTTCAGGGCGCGTGAAAACTGAGAAACTAGTCAGTAACTGCCATCCTAGCTTACCTAAATGACACGGACTGGTACTGAGAGGACGTGCTGACTTCCACCAAAAACGAGTGCGCGGATCAAAACGGAGCTCAGCTCTAATTGGAGGTTACCAAGGAGGCATCTCACTACCCAAGCTTTTCAGTATTGTATCATAGATTCGGATTTAATATCATGATCTGAGTAAAAATAAGATTCGCAGTTGATCACCAAACAGCTAAGAAAATGGTGACATAACACGCCCCTCTGCCCAGTTTGAAAATCAAGCATTTTTTCTTTTAAAACATCTTTATTATGTATTTATTTAGAAGCAAGCATCAACAGCAATATTATTATTACGACAGAACTGTTCGCAACAGTTATCCCCGTGCTTTGATCTATAATTAATCTCCAGACACTGCTTATGGGTGCGATTGGGCAATCTGAAAACAACTTTAGGAAAATTTGTATGCTAGCGGTCAGAGGGAGTCAAATGTTTCGTAAGCTTAGACCACATACTTAGCTTGTTCTTAGCCCGACGATAATCGTTGATGTTCTCAATCTCCTCCGGACAGGTGACAACCCAGTTGCAGGGCCTTGGCCACTTCGTGCAGGTAAAATCGCAGACACACTGCTGACTTATGTTCTTGCCCACGCAACAAGGACTCGTGTTGACGACCACTTTGCAGACACTGTTGGGACATGTGCACTGGAAGCTCAGCTCGAAGGCAAAGCAAAGAAGCAGCAGAGTCAGCAGGATCTTAGCAGCCATGTCGGACACTTCTCAGATGGAGTCTGATGGGAATCCGGGCCTTTTATAGTCTTCCCTGTCTCAAAAGTGGATTATTTTTAATCTTTAGTTTAACTGTTTTTTCAACAGTTGTGTACATAAACGCGAGATATGGTAGATGGGCAGACTATAAAAGCAGGCCGATCTGACTAGATCGTCCGAGTGCTCTGCAAGCGACATGTCGGCCATACGGATTCTGTTGATATCTCATCTCCTCGCCGGGCTTTTGGTCTCATGTCCGGCTTGCGATTCTGTGAAATATTGCGTACCCTTTATGGGCGAGAATTGCTGCATCAAATCAGACTACACAGAGCCAGATCTGCCACCCATAGATAACGATTGTTGTGGACCCCATTGTAGATATACAGCCTTGAATGGTGGAACAGAATCCAATAGTGACGTAATAAGAGGGCGCTGTCTCCTGGACCCCCACTGCAAGGGCAACATTACGTTCACTTATGTGATGATGTCCGACCTCACTCTCCAACAAAATAATGCTGTAAGGGCTTCTAATGGTGAAGCACGTGAGTATTTTACATTTTAGAGGTAACTGTATCTAGTATTTATCCGAATACTTATTTACTCAGGTCTCTTATCGTTCCCTTGGACCGAAGACACTTGTGTGGCTCAGAACACCAAGTGTGGCATTAATTGCTGCTGCCGTGAGACCTGTCCAACAAAGTTTTGTGTAATTAAAAATGGAACTACATGTCCATAAATAAAATATCGAGTTTTTGATTTCAAAAAAAGTTGTATTTTATAACTACAGAATAATGGGTATATTATACGAGTAAAAACTAATTTATAAAGTGATCATGATGGAATAAGTTGCCTTTACTGCGAATTCTTAAATAGCTTGTTAAACGCTTATATCAGTAGCTCATTTACGAATTTTGAGAGTTGGTTATTCTCCGTTCAAAGCGCAATTTAATTATAAACTTTCATAAATATAAACTTTACTAAATAATATTAACAAAAATAAAAAAGAAACTCGCGTATTCGCAGCCGGTAGGATTCGAACCTACGCTCCCAGAGGGAATCTGATTTCTAGTCAGACGCCTTAACCGCTCGGCCACGACTGCTTATGATTCTGCAGCCTAATATACAAATATTAAAAACAAAATCACTTTCTTTTTATAATACCTCTTAAATGGTCAAGCCAACAACAAAAGATATCAAGATATGGGCAGTGATTACGGAATTTATAGATAGGATTTCCTGTTCAATACTGTTTCTTAATACTCTTTAAAACATATTAACAATAACCTTAAATTTATATGTTGCTATTAAAAAAATATGCATATTATTTTTATAAATATTATATATTATTTTTCCTAATTTCTATAAGAAATAAAAAATACAAAACCAAAAAGCCAAAAAATTACAATATTACTAAAAATCAATAAGTACAGTACATACATAATATGTATATTTTGTCTTCGTAGGCTCATTGGGATTAAAAATATTACATTTTTAAAATTTTTGTATCCCAGATCGCAAAAAAAAAAAAAAAAGTTGGGATGTCCATTATTTTATTCATAATTCGTTAATTTCGACCCTATACCCTATATTTTTTTAATGAATATATATAATATATACAAATTAAATTAGAGTAATCAATTGACCGACTAGTCCCCCTCCCATTACCCATAATTATAGATCTTAGAAAGTCACTTGGATGAACTTAAAAAAAAGGAACCGATCCTATTCGCAGCCGGTAGGATTCGAACCTACGCTCCCAGAGGGAATCTGATTTCTAGTCAGACGCCTTAACCGCTCGGCCACGACTGCTTATGGCCTATGTATATTAAATTAAAAAAAAACTTTTGGCTTTCTAAAAACTTTAGCGGTCAAGCCAACAACAAAAGATAACAAAAGATATTGACAGTGATTACAGAATATATAGATTTGATTACGCTTTCGAAGCAATTTATTTAAGTGGTTTAGGCGCTTTTCTACTGCTCTTTAAATATATTTAAAAGGCTATTAAATTGTAGTTGTTTTAGGAAAAAATAAAGACTTTATTTTAAACTATTATTATCCTATCTGTTGTATTTACAAGTTGTAAGTTTATTATCACTTTAACTCAGTTTTTCTATTTTAAATAAGAATTTGTAACATGCGATTGGAAATAACATTTAATTTACTTTGTGAAATAAAAACAAAAAATTTACAATCCCAGTTTGAATAGACTAGCCAAATCATAAAAAAAAAGAGATTATGTTTTTAAATACTAAAAAGAATATTTAAAAAAAGATTTCGATCATTTTCGCAGTCGGTAGGATTCGAACCTACGCTCCCAGAGGGAATCTGATTTCTAGTCAGACGCCTTAACCGCTCGGCCACGACTGCTTATAGCACACTTTGTGCCAAATCCCGTGTTGTGCTTCGTGTAAAAGATACGTCAAATAAAAACGATAGCTGGAATTTTATGTTATCGAATACATAGAGCGAAAGAAAAAATACTGAAACCTGAAAATTCTGTAAATTTGGCGAAGAACCCAGAAAACATAAATTTACCGGTTCTAACCCACAAATTTTTAAATTAAAATATTTTTAGAAATGAAATCACTTTTTTAGTCAACTGGTATTTATTTATTCGTTTAAATATACACTTAAAATACATTTACAAATACATTTATAAATATATTTCCGTAAACAAATCGCGTATTCGTCGTGACTATCAACTTGGTAAACATCAGAAAAAGTACAAAAAATCGTAGCCATCGTTGGGCAAATTTCTGTTGGTTTCTCTATGATTTCCTTGAAATGCATCGTAGTACAAAATGAATCATTAAAATCATATACAAACTTACAAAACGAATTCTACAATAAGGCATTCTTTCAGTTTGCTTTTATAATATGGTATGGTGCGGCAGGGGACTTACAATTTATAATAACTTCGTATATTGTGTGCGGTGTCTTGTGTACATTATTTCACTTATAAAGAAATTTACATAATTTTAAGGGAGGTTAAATCACAAATTAAGATGCATATAAATAGGAATTTGCTTAGACATAAGTACATGGATACATGTTATTCGCGTAACTAACTAAATGACAAGTATAACTGGATACATTGTATGTTTGGCTCATCAAGACGTTTAGAAAAAAGCATAAAAACCATTGTCGAAAACACTACATACATATATCTTTGTTTTAAATGCACTTTGCAAAAGTATACATCAATTTTTGTTGGATTCCTGCATTCGTGACTGATAATTTTTACTTGCTTCACATCAATATTATATGTTTAAATCTATATGTATGGTGTAGTTCGGGCTCCATTCCTACATTCCTTCGGAGGACACATATTCCAATTTCGACACAAAAGCATTTACTAGTCCTGTGATTTTGGGGCTATTTTCCGAACTAAACGAAGGCTTACGAAGCCACCTTGCCCACATCGGTGTGCATCATGACAAGAGATCCAACCATGGCCACCAGAGTGCGGTCCAGCCAAGTCACCGGGTTAGGATACAAGAAACCGCCCTCGAAGAAGCCCAGATGACCACCATGGGCAACCTCCACATAGGCCGTATTTTGACGAGTGACTGGAAAATAAAAGAAAATAAATTAAATGTTTAATTAAAATTAAAATTAGTAAAAAAAAAAAAATATGAAACTCATTCGCAGTCGGTAGGATTCGAACCTACGCTCCCAGAGGGAATCTGATTTCTAGTCAGACGCCTTAACCGCTCGGCCACGACTGCTTGTTGATCTGCTCGGTCAAAATGACAACTAATGCCGATTGGAAGGCAAGCAAAGCCAACACTAGCAAGGCTTCTGCGCATTGGGAGCGCATTTAGTCGCTTTACAACACTATTAAACCAATTTTTAAAATTCAAGCGCGAAAAAATACTTCTATTGAAGTTATTTTAACAAAAAAGGGGGGTTCATTTTAAGAAGATTAATTTCGTCAAGTACAATTTTGCAAAATAAAAATATATATAAAAATACATGCGTTAAATTATCTTCAAATATACAAAAATGCATATATTCCCGTCTCTCCTTTACTCACTTGCAAATTCCTTGATGGGCAGTAGCAAATCCTCATGAATCAGGGGATCATCCTTGGCATTAATAAAGATCATGGGCTTCTTAATGGTATCAAAATAGAACAACGACGAGCTCCACTTGTACAGCTCCTGAGTTGAGGAGAAGTTATAGACACGCCTTGTGTAAGCCTCATCCAATTCCGGTAGTGTGGCAGCGGCGATAATCTCGCGCTCGTTTAGATTGTGTCGGGTCTTCACTTCGTCCGACAGCAGGACGTGACGATGTCTTAGGATAATGCTCTTTACGTTCTCGGTCATGATGTATAGGTAGAAGCGTCGGAAGTTCTGCCAGTTAAGCAGCCATTTGGTGCCCCTAAAGAAGGTTTATAATCAAATGATCTCATAAATAAAATTATTTCCTTTGACACTCACTCGACGGCATTATAGCCTTGACATATGGATATCCCTCCGATGACGCTGTTGGGCTTTGTTTTCTGGTCCTCTCCCATGTATTTGGTCACCAAATTACCGCCCAGACTGAAACCAACCGCCACAATACGACTTTGACGGTACTTCTGATGCAAGTGCTCCACCATGGCGGCAAAATCCTCGGTGTGGCCATAGGTGAAAATCCGTGTCGAGGTCACCTGGACACTTCGCAGGGCTCCAATGTGATTTAGCACCGCACAACGGTATCCATTGCATTGGGCCAAATGGACAAAGGTGCGAATATACACCGACTCGGAGCTGTTGGCAATGCCCGGACAAATGGCCACCGTGATGTCATCTGGCAGGAGCATTAGAAATGTTTAATAATTTTAATGGATTCCGGGTATCTGATGGCACTTACCTTCTTGTTCGTTGATGGGCTGGTACAAGTCGTAGGTTAAAGTGGAGCCATCAAGCAGCGACAGGTAGACGCGCTCGCCCAGAGGCCAAGGGCACCTCACACGGCCCACAATGCTGTGCAAAACGGTCTGAACATGGCCGCTGAAGCCCCAAAGACGTGGTGGAATGTAACTGCAAGTATTTTAATTAAATAAATAGTATTAAAGGATATTATTATGCTATAAATGCTATAAAATTAACCAAACAACATACAAACAAAACGTTGACCTGTTACTCTTATCACCTGTTACTCTTATCACTTATTACTAAAGCCTTTTTGGAAATTAAATATTTCATAACATGTCTTAATTTATGTTATCAACAAATAAATTATCAGTCCTCAATATAAACAAACGCAATGGTTACCCTATACCCGAGAGCGTCACAACTTCACTCTTGGGCACAGTCTCCACACAAGCATCGGTGGTTCAGTGGTAGAATGCTCGCCTGCCACGCGGGCGGCCCGGGTTCGATTCCCGGCCGATGCAAACCCTCTTTTTTATTTTTGTTTTAAATATTTTTCATAATGTTTATTTGCCCTTGACATTGCAATTTGAATTATGGCAGATAATAAATAAATGCATACAATTGCTTCCAGTTCGTTAGCAGGCAATTTGCCAAATTTCAGCAAATATAATTCGCACAAATTGAATTTTGATTTGCGTTCAAGTTATTTTTTCAAAAGCCGAAGAGAATATAAGTAAAATACACACATAAAGCAATTCGGAGAACCGCATTAGAACCAATTGAACCTAATTGAGCAGGCGAACAACACCGGTATTAGATGGAGAAAGTAAGGTACACTTAGAAAAAATCAGGAAATAAAATTGAGGCCTTTTATTATTATTTAAAGTAGTCTTTTTAAAGACTGATTATAATAAAAATAAAATGAATTCATTAAATTAAGTTTTTGTAAATTTTTTGAAATAAAAAAACTTGAGAAGCTTATTCAAAAAACTACAGGACCTTCGAAAGTTGAATAAACTTTTTTGATGCAAGATTCGTACTAATTCAATCTTTTTGCTATCAATTATTCTCAATTGTATCTAAATTTAGCTAAATTAGTTTCTTTCTGTGTCTAGAAATCATGTCAGGCGTGCAAAAACGTGCCAAAAATTTGTGTATTTATTATGTGTGCCCAGTAACAGTGGCCATTCAATTAGAATCAATCAGAAATGAAATCGTGGAAGCCCGGCCAGCTTGGGAACTTACACAAGTGCTAGCTTGAGCGTGCACCTGATACATTTTTAATCATTCCCCACAAAACATGAATTCCCGAACATCAATCAATATGCCATAAATATTTAAGAGCTCAAAATTTAAATTAATGCGTAAATAATGAAAGTGCTGACATAAATATGAAACTTTAGCTTTCTGCGTTGTAAAAGGTAAATTCTCTCCCCTAAAAAAAACAGCTGGCATTTATTTTCAAGCCCTTTCCAGAAAAATTTCACAATTTAGCGACAGCAATAAACTTGTCAAGACTGCGAAAAAATAAGCAAATGAGTCATCGGTGCATTTTCAATGTCACACCCCTCTTGGCAGAATGATTGCTCTCAAACAGTTTAGAAACTGCCTTACATTATACTTTCGCGTTCTGGTCGTTATTTGATCTTTATATAACGTTATATCATCGTTGCAATAAAATCTGTCACCACAAAGTTGGAGGCTTGATTATATTTATACCTCTAGGTTCTGTTTAGACCCTACAACGCAGCTTTTTAGTAATTAAAATTTTAACACAAAAGTTTAGAAAGAATAAATACCCATTCAAGCTTACGCAATCTTTGTTATTAAACAAAAGCGGCAGCCGACTGACTGGGCAAAGCGCCAAAACAGAAGAGAAAAAACATTCACAGGTGGCGTGGTGCCGGCATTTGAATGCGAAATGCCAAAAAGAAACCGGTCAAACATTTTGCCGGCACTTTTCATTATCAACCCCAACATTTAAACATATACATATACTTATGTATATCTTGGGGGAACTCCCACACTGTCAAGTTGTGGCCAAAACTTGGTTGCTAGGCGTTAGTAGCTCTCTTTATATTCCTAGGCTACTGCGTAATTATGGGGCGAACTTTGCTCTCACAGTTTTTATTGTTCCTTCTTATCGCCAGTCCAGCCAGACCAACAGACACACAGAAAAAGCACATAAATTGAAAAATAAACCCAAAGAAAAAGATTAAACGGAATTCCATTTACTTTTGCGGTTGTCCGGCAGCCGAAAGCATTCACAGATTTTCGCCAATAAAAAAAAACAAACGAAAATTTTCCAGGCGTGTGGCCACAGCCAAGGAAAAAGTTTGATAAAGAAATAAATTCAAGAAATAACTGGAGAGTTCCAAATTTATAAAGTAAGCAAACAAATTTTAACAACTCAGATTTGAAAATTTTTAAAATTTTTAATTAATATTTGATAACCTGATAACCCTGCCTGCAAAACAATGAAATTAATTTAAGGCAATTTTCTGAGTCCGATAACCCATGTTAACTCAAATACTCCTCAAATATTTTAAACCTATGATCACAGAGGTTTCCATCTTGTGAGTCAAGAGTTTTATGACTTATTCGATAACGAAACGGATACTATGTATGGTTATGGGATTATTCCTGAACGTAATGGAAAGCTGATAACAAAAAATAAAACTTATAAAATTGCAATTAATCAATGTGAGGTGCACTTTCATTTTATTGTCCCCTACCATTCCTGATAATCTTAACTGATAATGAGTAAAAAGTTTAATGAATTTGTGAATTATTTAGACCTCATAGGACATCAATTCTATTGACTAATTGCTAATGATTCACTCGTGCAGCTGATGACTTTGGTCGAAACAATACTATTTTTTTTTCAGATGCATGTTAAATTGGCCAGTTGTGGTAATTTGAGTTAATTGCAGAGTTCTTTATCAACAACAATGGGATGCAAGCCGACTGGATAATTATGTTTGCCGGGCGTAACTAAGATTTTGGCGCGGCTGTGATGCTATGGCTCTATTACCAGCTCAAGTGGGATGATGGCGTGTGTGGGTATACGACAGTGGAGGTCAGGAGAATAGTTCTAAAGTTCACAAGTAAATTTTTACTTTTACATAATTTTGCATAATTTTTGTTTTCAAAGATTGATCTCATTAAATTTTAGAATTTACCATAAATAATTTATATAGTTTGGCTTTAACCCTCTAAGCCCCAAGCGAAGAAATATTAAAAAAAACGAAGTGTAATTATATTTTTTGGGGTAAATGGTAGCTTTTAATTTCAAAAATGACCTCAAAAAGTGTGTACTAATTGTAGTTTACCTGTAAATCGAACAGGGGTAAATAAGATAAATCACTGCTACAACGCACTATTTCTATAAAATTGCAAATATGCAACTTGATTTGGATTATTTAATATGTTACCTTCTAGAACAATAATTTTTATTTGGCTGATTTTGAAGATATTTCACTTTTATTGATAGACAAAAAAACACTAAATGAAGCACACAAAAATTTTTGCGCGCGAATGCATGATGCATGTAAATAACACGAAAAAAGTCCCGTTATAAAGCTTAAGAGAGCTTTGAAACCTTCTACTCATAAGTTCACATGTTTATTGTGAATTGACTAGTGTAATTAAAAAATTTAAAAGGCTCCCAGTTTTTTAGATAATACAAATTATCTAATAAGTGCCTTGAGGCACTCTTGGGTCTTAGAGGGTTAAAGAGTAGTATCTATAAATCTGCCCGCAATTGTTATCTCACTCTAATGGATTACAAGGTTTGTGGCAATTTACCAGAACATGCTATTATTGTGGCCACACCTGTGGATGGATATTTATGTTATGATTGTCTGTCTGACCCAAAAAGCTAAACGGAAAAGGACGCGGCAAGGCTATGGAAAATTACCGAAATTAAGTTGAGCTTAGATTATCTAAATCCTGAATAATTAACTAATGCATTTAAATAGAGGTATTTTGTTGGTTTTTATTTTCACTTTTGTGTAGCTCAAGATTTTGGCGAATATGCGTATGCGCCATTACTTCGACCGACCACACCTGTGGGCGGATATTTATGCTACGATTTTGGGGCGTGGGTTGGGGTGCGTCGTATAAGGAACTCATGCGATTTACTTACGGCTCTCGCAGTACTGGTGCAATCTTGTAGAGACAGTCGAGGAATTGTGCGTCCAGGCACCAGACACTCGGTTTCAGCGGTTGGCTGTGCACGTTGAGTATCCGGAAAAGGATGCAGACAATAACGGCGACCAGCGTCAGGAAGGCGGTGGACATTTCGCCGATTTTCTGCCCAGGATCCAAAGAAGTCGGCAGCTGGCCTGCCTTATCATCAATCAGTCGCCACTTATCCTTTACTTTCTCCGCCCCGTTCGCTGTTTTTCTGGGTTTGTCCGTTTTTTAGTCTGCCTTCTATGGATTCGTTTGTATTCTATCGTGTGGCAAATATATGTGAACACTTCACGGAAACCGAATTTTGTTTAAAATTGTGCGACAGAACTAGCTTGCGCCAGCTGAGTTTTTTCTTTTCTTTTTCAATTTGGATTCCGATTGGACCGTACTACAGAACCGGAAAAATACCCTAGAAACATGACATCGACAGCTGGTCAAACTAAAAGTGCTCAAGTATTTTTTATTCATTATTCTCATTCTGGTTATAAGCTTTCCATAATTTGAATTTCCTAGTAAAAAGAACAGATAACCAGTCAATATGAACGTTTTAAAATGACGGAAAATTATTAGAATATAATCTTTTGACGTTGGAAAAATGTATGTCTGTAAAAGCAGTGTGACCGTAGCTACGGGCCATTTTACTGGAATTTCTTTAATGCGGTTAATTTGAATATTGTATTTTATTAAATTTTATTATAAAAAAAAATCTATTTTCCATTTTTAATTTTAGATTTTAGCCTTAATTGAATAAGGTTTTAACTCCTTATTTTTTCTTGAAGTATATAAATAGTTTGAAAATAACACACATTCGAAGCAAATTAAAAGTGGTAACAAAAAGATTAAGAAACCTTAAAAGTAAAATCCTTTTTTAAACCAAAACCCAACGAAAATGAGAAATTTTAGCCCTGTAGATAATCCATCAAGAAGGGCTTATCATCCGCAGCATATGGCGTCAATGGAACATCATAGGGTAGTGGGAAAGCGGGTACACCATCGCGATTATTTCCCAAGGGAAATGTGTCCTCGCCAGTCTGTAAAAAAATACATCAAATATAATTAAATGCTGCAATTAAAAGTAAACCGAACTCACCACAAATCTGGGCAGAAAGAGGACGCCAACTTCATAGTTGGCGATCCTGAGGCAGGGCTGAATATTGGAGTTTTTGTTGAAGCAGCCCCAAGCAGCTTTAGAGAGATTAGCGGAGGTCAACACGAACCAATAGACGGATTGATCCTCTAGATTATAGCGTGTATAGCTTTTAATGTGTGGCATAGCCCTAGAACGATGACGATCACTGGATTTCCATTGCTGCAGATGCTCCTTAAGCCACGGCTGCTTGTCATTGGTATTCTTTCCATAGGGCAGGCATCCGCCGCCCAGCATTCCATCATGACTGCCCGAGACATTCCCATAACTGGGATAAATCATCTTAAAGGCTGGCATTTGGCGCAATTTACCCAACGGTGTGGAATCCTTCTTAAGACTATTGATGAAGTCCTGCTGAATCCAGGCCTGAACATTCGCACCCAGACTGCCGATGCTTGAACTCTGGCAGACCACAGGTATGCGATCATTGATCGGGGCCGCATGTTTAGCCAGCAGCGCTCCTAGGCGCGCATGGCCCCACGGATGACCGCGCACGGTACTCTCGCGATGGCCTCCAGGCACGGAACCCAAAAAGAAAACGTTGATTGCGCTAAAATCGCTCTTCCGGATTCGCGCTATCCAAGGCTGCAGCTGGGTAATCTTGTACTCCACCAGATATAGCATCAAGTCCTGCTTGAATCCCGTTTCGCTTTCACCTGCTCCGGTATCAGCATCTTCTGGCAGTGCCGGCAGCTTTGGACTAATCCACACACCCTGGGTGCGATTGTGCCAGTCGTCCTCGTACAGATTCGCCGTGGAGATGACCACACGCATGGATCCATCACTGTAGGCAAGCAGCATCATTTTGGTGTGCGAGGTGGCAAAGGGCGTGGGCATTTTTACCCCGATAGCCGTGACCTGCGGTTTGAATTTGCCGATGCTGAGAAGTTCGGGAGATTCATCGCCATAGAGGACCAATAGGGGTTTGTCGCTGCAAAGGAAATGTTATTTTCAACCACAAGTGCGAGAAGGAGACGTTGTATTACTCACAGTATCCCCGCAAAATAATAGTGTCCCAGTAGCCAGCCAATGTCCACCATAAAGTTGATTTGAACACTGCTCTCGATCTCGCCCAGACTTTCATCAAGGATTTCCTGAAGTGTCACACTTAGCGGCTCCGAGTGCGTGGGCTTTGAGTCCGTAATCGCTGTCAGGAACATGTTGTAGGGAGCAGCCCGCTCCAGTTTCTTGGCCATTCCACCCTTTTCCACCACCACGGGAATGTAATCTCTGATGTTTCGCTCACTTAGCTTTTGTTTTTTGGCCAAATTGGATGTGTCTTTGGGGGCAGACGAGGAACTGGCAGCCTGGGAAGTTGAGGAACCCGTGGGATTGTTGCTTGAAGTCCCAGAGCTGGAGGATCCCCGGCTAGTTGAAGCAGCAGCTGGTGGATTTGCACCAGAAACATTCGCCTGCTTCTCTGCTTTGGCACCTTCTTTCGGAAAGAGTTTCTCGAGCAACTTCAATTGCGTTTCAATCAGGTCACTCGAGTACTTGGCAGGTATATCATAGTCCCCCGATACATTTCCCTTACGATAAATAGCATCCACTACAGGAAACAAGGAATAAAATTAAGTTTTTTGGTTTCTCTTAAGTTTTTGCTTGCTCACAGTGCTCATGGGAAAACTCGCCGAAATGGATTGGGTTCTTCCTGTAACATTTCTCGCCATACGGGCACTCCTTCATGATGCGTATATATTGTAATAGGTTGATTTAAAATAGCCCGAATGAATAAACAAATTAAATTAACAAAACAATTTCGCAAACGGCAAAAACAATGCGCGCTTAGTAGTGCGACCGTCCGGTTTTCAGATAAAATAGGTTTTAGACTTATTTGATACCTGGGCACACTTAAATCGACTGAAAAATATGGCAATATAAATATTTATTTTAAAATAATATATCGATATATGTAAAAATGTATTTAAATAAAAATTAATCTTTGAATAAAGACATTGGAAAAAAATGCATAAATTTATAGAAAATTTAAGGGATGATTATAAAATTAAATTATACTAAAATTATATATTAATAAAAATCATTATACGTTATATATAGGACAAGTTGGATGGGATAAGGTTAATAAATCTGTATAATATATATAAATAAAAAAATAAAATAAATAAATAAATAAATACAAATCGAAATATCGATATTTGTACAAGCAAAAAATCACTATACATTTTTAGAAAAAATATCGATATATTGATATTTTTATATATATTTTTCATCCCTAGTATGTGCATTTCGTGATAAACATTTTTGAAAAAAACAGAATTTATGGACATTTGCGGTGCCCAAACACAGCAAAAATGACAAAATAAACCCTCAGGGAGTGCTCACCTCCACGCGTAAGTAGTTCGCAACGAGTTTTCACCGATTTTTCCCTGAAGAAAAGACACTTTTTGAGTGCAATTACGTTTGGTGAAAAAGAGGAGAAAAAAATGTTTCCTTGTATTTGTGCTACGCTGCTGCTGCTTCTTCTTCGTTGCGACCGCCACACAATTGTTGTTGTTTTTGTTGTGGCGGTGGGGCAAAAGTGATGTTGTTGTTCTCTGCAGGGACGATCACAGTTTTATTCTCAGCCTCAGTTTTATGCTGCAATATACATATGTTCATATACATATGTGGATGTGTGTGTTTGTGCTGGTGGCCTATGTGTATTGTGTATGTATAAGTGTGTGCGCGCCATTAATTGAACAAAAAAAAGGAAAAAGTGGCATTGCTTATAAATACACACAATAAAATTATACATTTTATTATGTTTTGAAAATACTTCAAATGCGCACACGCACACTCATGCACAGCAGCAAATCTTCCAATGTCCACTTGAGCCTCTGCCGCTGCCAACGTCGCTGCCAGCAGCACAGGTGCGGAGGCGCGGGTATTGGTTTCAAGTGCAGAACCAAACAAATGGGAAATGAAAACAAATAATCAAAATGCGGTGCACATTTCGGTGAATAATCCTGTTGGAGGAGAACTTTGCTCTCTTTTTCTCACCTTTATGACTCAGCGTCTCGCCTACGCGCATCGTTTGATAATTGGAGCTTCTCTCTCTCTTCACTCCGTATCTGACTTTCTCGCTCTCAGCCCCCTTTCAAACGGTAAATAATAAACAGCACGCCCGGCTGGCCAAATCTTATCAGAAATTTCACCGCCCGCTCTGAGATGCAAAATTTCCAATTGGGCGAAAAAGGTGGCGAAACGAAAATAGTTTGATTTTGTTTTTCTTTTGCTTGTTAAAGATGCTCCAGGTTTAATTTTAAATATTTTAATGTTAAAAAAAAAGTAAAGTAAAGTAAAAGATATTATATTCACTTTAAATTTCCACCTTTTATTTGTATTACTTTTCTAATTAAATATTAATAAAAAATTCCCACTTTTCACTTTCATGTCGCAATTTGTCGAAATATTTATATTTATTTTAAGTTGTTTAATTATTTACTTAGACTTTTTGTTGAGTTCTTGCTGCTCACGTGTGTATATATTAGTGTGCTTATCTACGCTACGCTGTTTTTGCTGCGCTTCTATTTTATTATTATTTTTTGTTATCAGCAGCAGAGGCAGTGGCAGCGGCAGAGGGAAAATCAGAAGGAGCCGTGTGCAAGCAATTGAAATGGCATTTTCAGTGGCAGAAAGGGGCGTCGCAGCAGCACCAGAGTTGTTAAGATTTTAGCTTTGAAACAAATATGTTTTTATATTTTAGCAAACATTTTTAAAATAATAATAGTATGTTTTTTCAGGCATAGTGAACAGAGTTCTTAATTTATAAATTTTGCTAGATTTGACGGGAAAACAGCCACTGTGACAGCCCCCCTTCAGTTAGTTGCAGCAGCAAATCTTTTCCTTTGTCGAAGGTAACTGAAGCGAAGCGCGACACAAGACGAGAAGATTTGCTTGCAATGTGTGTGCACTCAATTCCACTTGGCGAACACCGCTCGGACATGAGGGTGGGTTTTGATTTTTCTAGTGGTTCCGATCTGGGTTCTGTTTGGTTTGGTTTTATTCCCTTTTGTGCGGTTTGTTTCTGTGTTTTGATACAGTGAACACAGGCGAAATGCGAAAAAGATTTTGAGTTTGAATCTTAATTTAAATTGTTATTTCAATTTATTGGATACCTAATCCTTAGAAATATATACACATATTCTTAGCCATCTATCCTAACAATTCTATTTGCAATCCTACCCCCTACAGATTGATTACAAGCTTAAATCACCCTAGAATCTTTTTGATAGCAACTAAAATCTTTTTTTAAAGCCTAATCATTTTGAAATTTTCAGGCTAATCTGATTGGTGACTTAACTACGCTATCTTCTGTGGGGTTTTCCAGTCTGATTTCAGTCGCGGTGTTAATTCCCGAGGCAAGATCATAAATCATTTTGTAAAAACGCCGCAAGAAGTTCCCAATAAAAGTAATGGCTAGTCTGAAGTTACGCCCCCGATCCATAGGTTTCTCTCGGTTCTGACACCCACACATCAGAGGCTCCACCCACAAAGGCAGTAGGTTTTGTGCTTAATGTCTTAACAGCTATTCTAATTTATGTTGCATATTGTTTAGTTAAAAATATACCTTCAAGAGAACCCCTCAACTTACATTTTCCGCCCAGGGAATTGATTGGCAATTCAAATTTGCCAGCCCGAAAATTAAGTGCGCAAAGTCAATATTTCAATTTAGGCATAAACCAAGCAAAAAACTGCATTTCATATGGGCAATTTGCATATGACGGTGGCTTTGGCTCTAAGTAACTGGCTGTTTGGTGGCTTTGGTTGGCTCAGCCTACGCACCGCCAAAAAAGTTGCAAATGCAAACCCAAATTTAACGGCGGCCGCCTCTTGAAATGAGCTTCAAATGGTTTGTCTAACAAACTGCTGCGTTTTGCTGGCTTGCCAAATAATTATGTTATTAATTGGATTTATGCGCAGTTTGTGCAACATGCAACATGCAAATTTTCATGTCCGTAACTCGAAAAAATAATAAAAAGCAAAATCAAAAGTGATCAAGTCATTATAACTCCACCCCCTGGTTACCTCTTTACCTTCATACGTCGTAAAATATAATTTGTGTAACGAAAATATAGTTATAAAAGAAGTAAACGTTTTTTTTATATGAATAGCGTTAAACGTGGTTAATTATATTTTTTAATAAAGAATAATGTACTGCAATTATAATTGGAATGGTTTTTATATGGTATATAAAAATATTTATAGTTTACTAATTTAGTCAAAGATTTTGAATACGTTAACGTTTTATTATATGCAATAATTCATTACAAAAATATTCTAGCTAAGGGTCTAGACTTAATTAAACAGGTCCCATAAATAACACTTCTATTTGAATTTTTTTCATAATATTTTCCAACTCCCTACAACTCCGAAACGGACTGTACAAATCTCCTAACGGCTTATCGCCGTCAACTAATTTTAGATCTATCGAAAGCGTGATTTACGCTTTTCAGTTTTCAGTATTCCGCATTTTTTTTTCCCCCTCAGTCAGTGCCAGTGGGCGGCCCCTTCTTGTTATTTTTTGATATCCATATAAATATTTTTGTTCCCCATCCGGCTGTTTCCCCTCAAAGTCCTCATGCTCTTGATCTTCTTGTCGCGATAATCCGTCCGCGCAATGGTAATAAAACGACGACAAATAACGAAACCGTAACGAAGAAAAAAAAAAATTGTCAACACGAATTTGAACTTATTTTTAGACCCTGCCGCAATAGGATTTTCTCTTTTATTGTTATAATACCGACAACAACTTTATTAAGAAGTGCTTGGAAGCAGATTCTTATCAGCGTTTGGCTTTTGGCCCCAAAAATCCCAAACTCTAAGGCTTTTTAATCACAGATCAAAAGGAGTCGTCGGTCTTAGTGGGGATCGAAGAGAAAGATACTCTTTAATTTATAGGAATTTAGAGAAAATAAATCCCAAAAAACCCTATTTTATTGAATTTAAATATTTTGGGCCCTTTTTTGCCTCAATTAATATAGTGAGAAAATAGTTTTCTGTCTAGTTTTCAACTAATTGACACGTGCCAGTGTAAACCCTTTCTTAAAACATTAATCCATTCGCTCTCCGGCTCGTTAAAGTGCCACATTCAGTGCGCGAAATTGAAGCAAATGGCAGCTAAAGGAGACAAACTGCACCAAAAACTTATGAAAACGCAACTTTAAACTGTAATAAAGTGGGAAATTACAGCGCATAAATCTCTGTCGCTGAACTGTCAGTGAGCCCGGCGACTGGGAATTGCAGGGGACTTTGTGGGGCTCCGATCGGAACGGGGTGGAGCGAAGTAGTCAACAGGCAGGCGGCAGTGGAGCCAACACCCACGCAAGACGAGCTCGTCTTGAATGAAATTAGCCCGTAACTAGAGTTTACAGTTTAGCAGCTACTGGCTATCGTCGTCGTCCGATCGCGCTTGAATACCAAGTATTCTGGGTCTTAGCCACACACATAGAGCCTGGCCAAGACTGCTGTTTGGTTATGCGACTCTTGTCCATGATCGGCGCTTCATTGCCCATATAATGCTAATAATTATTGCATTTAAAATCTAATAAATTTTTGCATTGACAACGCGGAGTTCAATGGAGTCCGTGTGGTGAGGTGGAATGGGTTCGGATTTTTAGATGGGCATAAAAAGAAAACAATTCCCAGCCGCTCCTATTTTAATGGTGCAGATACATATCTATCACAAGTGATTGGGAAAACTACGTGGAAGTCACCAACACTTTGATACTTCTTGGTAAAATTGTTTATGAGATATTGAGGATATATTAAATTTATTAGCTTGTATTTCTTAAAATAAAGACTTACGTTTATACAAAAACGAGATAAAGAAAACAAAAAGACCACTAAAAGGGCAATTCCTGGGATTGATTAAGGGCCTGAAGTCCTTGATAATTTCAATAAATACTAAAAACCATACAGGAACAACTTTATCTTTTGATAAAAAATACCTTAAAGAAGTCTAAACCATGTTTAACTCGTCTTTTAATCTTCAGAAAGGTTAAAAAATATCATTTTGTATTTCCCCAGACTTCTTTAATTATTTATCTAGTTTGCCAAGTGTTCCATCATATCCTGTTCAATGATTTTACAGATAATCAATTGGATATTATTGATCTCCGCCTCTTTAATCGTTCGCTCTTATGTACTTCTTATAGCTTCTTCTGGCGCTAGTCTCTAGTGACAGCAGAGCGCTTTCCAGCTTTTGACCATAATTGTTGGGCTTGTCATTGTTTGTGTTGTTGCATTGCCAACCTTAAAGTGCAGCCCAAGTATTCTGTTCGGCGCCTGTGTGTGAGTGCGTGTTAAATACATGTAATTAGCCATGTTTGTGCCATTTAATCCACTCGATTGGTGGAGTTCTCGCTCCCCCTGCTAACTCCACTGCCTTTTTTTTCGCTTACTCGAGCGGCGACGCTTTTCTAAGAATTCTTTTACGTTTTGTTTTGGCGCACGCATTAGGCGCCACACAGCAGCAGCACGTTTAACCCGCAGGACATGGGCAGCAAGGGTTAAGAGGACGGGACGAAGGCTATGACGGTGGCGGGTAAAGGGACTTGGGATGGGGCACAGTGGCAATCTCGGGGAGCTGTGGCGCATACTCCACATATTTATGGCTATTTAAGCGAACCGAACGAATCGTGGATGCCGATGACGATGACGAACTTGCTGTTGCAGGCTTTCCTGCACGTTGCACGTTGCCGGCTACAGATGAGGGCAAGAAAATAGTGATTAAAAATTATAAATAAATAAATAAATTGAAAATAGGTAATATTAGGTACTTCTTTAACTAAACATACTGAAGTCAAAGGTATATTTCAATTAGGAATTTTTTAAAATTAGGTACATATATATTTCGTTAAATCTTAAAGAAACTATTTATGGATGTCGCTTGAAAAATGGTCTTTCCTATGACAGAAACCTAAAACTTTATTGAAAAACCTTTACTATTTTAATGAAAACTGCCTGGTGCTCCCAATACTTTGGCACTGCTTCTGCTGCTGTGGTCCAGCAGTACCTGGCATTGATTGGCAGTTGAACACGCAACAATTGTTGCATGTACAGGCGTCGGCAACGACGGTGAGACGACAACAAAACCACAACAATACTGGGACACATAACAAAGTCGAGGACTGCGGCTTCTGGCAGTTTACTTTGTCACATGTTTAACCATTACTTTGTAAGCAGCTTTAATTGGCTTGCTCTCGAGTTCTCGTCAAAATTTGTCAAGTTCTATTGGGGATGCTTGGCTTTTATTTACTTATTTAGTTGAGTTTTTAAAGTAAATATGGTTTAAAATGTAGAATTCAAAGGCATAGGGGAAAGTCTAAAGTCTTTCTCTCTCCTAGTGCTTCTTCTTAATTATTTGTAAAAGCTTTTAATCAATACTTCCGCACAAAAGTTAAAAGTATGCCTCCGACCACCCACCACTTGCTCCCATTTCCAGAGCTCTTGGTTGGCAATGCGGTGGTGTCTCCGTGTTGACAGCTCAATTACTCACATGACAAAGCCTGCGTGCCCCTGTGCAATTATCGCGGCAATTATTTGCAATTACAATTGAGTTAATTTACTCAAAGGATGGATTTTTCCTGTGGCAGAGCATTTTTTCCTTTGACGTTTGCACTTTGGCACGTGCAAGGGTAAAATAAAAATTTCTGGGGCTCCGTATGTGTGTTTATGCAATTTGCGTTTATACTTTTTTATTGTTTCAGCCGGTCTACATAATTATAGCATATATGCAGAAGGTTTTCTCTTAGTTTTTTGTTAGTCTTTAGTTTTTGCTTGTGTTTTCAAGGGGCGCGCGATGACTATTTTCGACGATTTTTACGACGACTGTGTAATGTTACCCATGTTGGCAATAAATTCGCGTTTAGTAGTGTTAAACACGCAATAAAAACATAGTGGGTGGAGCGATTGTACATAAACATGGACGCATTTTAAACATATTTACAGTTGAGGTTAAAATATTAGGGATGAACCTAATACGTACTAGTTATTGAACTAAGAAGAAAGTGTTTCGAGTTTTTTATAATAATTATAAATTAAATAATAAATTATAAGTTCACCTAAAGTATAAATACTTTCTATATTATTTTACTGCATATCTCAGAATAAATCTTGCATCTTTCTTTATAGAAATAATTGCAACATTTTTAACTATGACTGTGCTTTATTCCTATGTTTCCTGGTCGATTTCGCAAAAACGGCACTTACAATTTCCAGCACGCCCCATCAGCTGTTTTACTGCTTCCGCCCCTTTTTTTGAAATGCTTGGCATTTACGCAGGGAAATTCGATTTGTTTTCGGCTGCCTTGCATTCCGAATTCGATTCCTCCTCGCTTGTCCCACGCACGAAAAATATCGTTGACGCTGCCTCTCCTCCTTAAAGTCTAACCTCGGCCGCGCCGCCCTCCTTCTAATTTCCCTCGTTCACTTGTTGTGGTTGCAGCGGTGGGGTGTTTACAGTTTGATTGAGATTGTGGGTTGACGCCACCACTACCACTACAAATTAGGTAAACTTGAAAAAATAATTGAAACTTTCCTAAAGAATTTTTTTTTAATCTGGGAAAATTCTGAAATTAATAAAAAATATTTTAAAAGGATTGAAAGGCTTTAAAAGGTGGATGCTAAATGAGTATGAAATCGTTTAATCTTATCACTCATTACCCACCATTTATGCCAACTAGAACACGTTGAGAATTATAAAGAAAATAAGTACTTACAGGAATGACACCTGCGGCTGTCTACGCTTCTTGTGTGTTTTATCATTATAGTCTTTCTTTAGGGTCAGCTAAAAAGGGAAGATAATAAGATATTTTTGCAAATTTTATATAGAATTCTTAACCATTTAGTTTTTCTTTCTCTGTGGCTGCACCACACAAACACGTTTGCGTTCACGTGCAGGCGCCCCTAACTGCAGATAGGGCATTTGATTTGTTTAAAACAAACTTTTGCTGCCTGCCTGCCTTGCCTAGTGGTGGTGTGCACTTGGCTGCCTGCACAATGCACTCAATCACAAAAAAAGCAAGAATACGTCACTCAACAGTCGCACGGAATCAGGGCTGCGGTAGAGAACTGAAATCTTTAAATTTATGAAATACAAAACCATAAGTTGATGTCTTGGAATCATTCTTTAAGGCACTTATAGTTAAGGAAAATGTGACCTAACTTTAAAACTTATTAATACAATTTGTTAAATAATGTTAATATTTAATTATGCCTCTCTGAAAAGCCTAATAGTTAATGGTTAAAAAGGAACTGCAGTGCCACTCGCTGCTATCCCTGGCAAACCCACTCAGATACACACACCAGGCACTCATACACAGCGAATGCAGTTCGGGCTCCGTTCAGTTCGTCAGTCAGCCAGTTCGTCACTCACTCATTCAGCCAGGCATTCAGTCAGTCATCGCTCGGTGGATTCAGTTGGCCGTTCAATTCGTTCGGCATTCATTGTCGATCGCTCGCGTCGTGCAGTTGGTTTCACGCTCGCTCCCCATCGCGACCCTTTCTCGTTTTCTCTGGGGATTTTGCGTAATTTCCCGCAAAAATACTGCCGAGCAGCCTCAATAAATTAAATTATTATTATTGAAGTGCACACCGCGAAATGAAAAGATAATAATTGAATTAACAATCGGAAATGTAACTGCAGGAGCAGCGAAAAATAAAGGGAATCATCGATCGATCAACGATCGCCGTCGTGGAGGGTCGCATTTGCATACGAATAATATTTTGATGCTGATTTCGATCGCGTGTGTCTGTGTGTGTGTAATAAAAATAAATAAAATAATATCTGCAATCTCAACATGTGTACGTTTGTTTTGCCTTAGTTCCCTAGCCCTTTTCCCCTGCTCTCGATTTTTGAGTTTTCCCTCAAATTGAAACTTTTGCTTCGTTCTTTATCTTTTAGATGTTGTGTGTGTGTGCATTGTTTGTTTATTTTTAAACATGGGTCCAAGTCGTCCCGACTATTTCTCTTTCATTTTCTGGTACTCTTTCGTTTTGGGTTCTTTTTCCCCCCCTTTTTTTTTTGCTCGCTTTCAATGGCAGCGGAAGTGCCAGTGGCAGTGCTTCTGTGTGTACGTCCAACATTTTCCCAAGTACCTACCTTTATTTTTACCTGGCTCCCATGATTTACGCGTTATTGTCACTGCCGCATTTATGATTGATTTTCGATTGGAATTATATGATACGCATGCGCGAATGCGTGCCTGCCATAAAAGTCCCTCAAAAAGTCCTCAGTCTCGGTCCTCCGTTCTTCTTCAGTTGAGTTATGATCGCTGGATGGGTTGATTGTCAGTGCACTGAACACAAATTATTAACTAAAGTAGTTCAAGTAGATCGAGATTAAGGTCTTCTTGATACTTTTATAAAAACGTTTTAAAACATCTTCGTTTAAAGTTACTAAATGTTCCTTAGATTAATAATTCTAAATAAAATTTAAATTTAATTAGAAATGTAGAGATTTCCAAAGGCACTATATTATACTTGATACTTTACCTTTATGGTAAAAAATAATGATCATATATTTTTTCATGTGCACTTTTCTTGGAATAAAAAACAAACAGAGAATGCGCTAGTTTTGGGTGGGGCAAGAAGGCAAAAATTGTACAGGGACTTCGAGGAGGTGGATACGTGATCTGAGCTCGGGTAATACGTAATTGCGAATTACGATTATTGATCTTTAATTGATTGGGGGAATGTCCCCCATGCGACGTGTAGAAACCAACTGACAATGGATCATAAAATCATAAGTGCATCGTAAATAAGTGAAATTATATTGAAATCGTAAAAGATCGTCTGACTATTTGATGTTTTATTTGGATCAATTTCCAATGGTTTTTTTATTCAACAAATTTTTTAGACATTTGATTATACATAGGTTCTATTGGGACTTTTTCCAAACTAACAAATATAATAAATAACAATCCCATTACAATATACTTAATATACTTACTTATACTTACTTATACTTACAATATACTTCGTTTTTTAGGAATTCTGAATATAAAAACAGAAATCCAAACCAAAAATTCTAGTAAAACCCCTTTTTAGACCCACCTGCAATCAGCCGAATGTCAAAGCTTTGCTTAAACAAGCCGGAGGCATTATCGAAATTCGTATGCTTACCCCCACAATCAATCGAATTCCACAAGAGAGACCACAATTGCCACCTTTAAAAACACACAACATTGGTCAGCTGGACAAATATTCCACTCCTTCCAAGATACTCTCTATCTAACGTAACCCTCGCGATAAGTCTGCTGGGACACCCAGCCAAGTGTCACTTGCTTATCTCGAACTTTACAAATAACAAGAAATTCGGTTATTCTACTCACTTCCTTGTGTACAAATATTTACTTTAAGGATTAAGCATATGAAAGGATTATTTAAAATAAAATATAGTATATATTCTCATGCCATAAACACTTGATACAACCGTCTCACTATGGAAATTTGAATTTTTATTTAGAGTATTTTTTTGGTTTTACACCAAAGGCTATGCACATTTAGCGCCTCAGGCTCTGGGTGACTTTGAGCAATTAAAAAAAGTGGGTTTTCCGGCCTCCTTCTATCAGCGTCAAACAACAAATTGTCAGGCTAGAAAAAAACAAAAAAGAATTACAAAACAAAACTCGGGCAACGCCCCAAAGTATTAGGCCTGAGTTGATCGAAATTAATTCACGCAACGGCTAATTTGGCCAGAAAAATGCGCCACTTGGTCTGTCGGTCTATCTGTCGTCTGTCCATCGGACTGGTGGAGAGGTGTTTTCTTGTTGTCCCAGAGCGCTGCTGCACATGTTGATTTATAGTCGGCATTTAATTGCTTTTGAAATTGGATTTACCTGCCTGCCAGCCTGCCTGCCTGCCTGCTGCCCCACCGAAAGTGGTGCGAAAAGGGGTGGTCGTTCAGTCGGTGGTTCGCCTTGTGTGGTTTTCTTACGATTTTAGTGCTCCAGCCTGCACAAATTAATGGCTACTACAAATTTTCATTCAATTAGACTTTGTCACTTTTTAAATTTAATTACAAAAATATTTTTTCACACCTTGCGCGCAGAAATATGAGATTGCAAACGTGCGCCTCGTTGCTCAAACCACACAGGGGCGGCGATGCTGTGGAGAAGTTCTTCAGAAAAGCTGTTAACATTGAAATGTCATAATTCAAATTGAATTGTAGTCTTTACCGTTAGACCCAGTGTGACGTGTATGTGTGTGTATCAAGGGTGGAAAAGCCCAGGGAGCTGTGGAAAAGGGGGCTGAGAGACAGACCCACATCCACATTTGCGGTGCGCTGACAAGTTGTAAACCATTTGGTTATCATTTGCGCTAATTATGAGCTGCAGCTCTCGTCACTCGTTTCAATACAGTGAAGCTGCACTACATAAAATATTAAATAGAAGGACACAATATAGACTATTTGTATAACATTTTGAATTCATAATACTTGAAAGTAAAGGAAATTGTTATAGATAAAATGTACATAGTTTTTTAAGAATTCTAGTCATTTGTCAGGTAAATCATCGCTTCTTTTGAATCGTAAATAGTTTTCACTTCGAAGAATTCGCAAACCTCCCCAAAAAAGTCCCCCCAACACTAGAGTCTAAACAAATGACGTCAGCAGCGATAGGCGATCATCAACAATAACAATATTGAGAAGATAAAAATAATTTTCCAACGAAATCGAATTTTGATTAATCAGCCCACCAATTCAACTAACTGAAATAATAATAATAATAATTCTCATTGAGAAAATGTTGCAGGCAATTTGTATGCAAATGGCCGCCGACATTGAAAGTGGGAGGAGTCCGTTCATGACAAGAACCTCCCAGCGGCTTCATTCACAAGTCAAAATCATGATGCATTTGTTGTACCTCCTCTTTAGCCTGTTTAGCTCTCCCTAGTCTAAACACTCGAAGAAAAAAAGCAGTAAATTAAAAAGTTTGCTTTATGACTTAATTAAGACTTTTCCGAAGCAATTTCCCTCAGTGCCTTGGCGATTTAGCATGCGTAGCATTGTGGGCGTTGCTGAAGCCAATCTAAGCTCCATGATTAATGTATGCCATTCCGTTTGTGTTTATTTATTATTTATACATATGTACTTTTTACTTACTCATTTTACAGACTATCCGCCCGCTGATAGTTATACCGGTTATCGGGTAACTCCACCCCAAATCAACGGCAGCAACAGCAACAACATCAACAACATCAACAACAATAGCAGCCATCACATCAACATCAACAATAACAACAACAACATCTGCAGCAGCAGCAGTAGCAGCAACAACAGTTTAACAGCAATCAACAGCGGCAGCAGAATGGACACCGACGATGTGGAATCGAATACCAGCAGCGCCATGTCCACACTGGGCTCACTCTTCTCCTTCACATCGCCGGCGGTGAAGAAGCTGCTGGGCTGGAAGCAGGGCGACGAGGAGGAGAAATGGGCAGAGAAGGCTGTCGACAGTCTAGTGAAGAAGCTGAAGAAGCGCAAGGGAGCCATCGAGGAGCTAGAGCGGGCGCTGTCATGTCCCGGACAGCCCTCGAAGTGTGTTACCATTCCGCGCTCGCTGGACGGAAGATTACAGGTGGGTTTATCACATCGGAAATTCTTAAGGATTTACTTTACTCCTGTATTTTCTTTATATTATCCCTAAGGTCTCTCATCGCAAAGGTTTACCGCATGTCATCTACTGCCGCGTTTGGCGCTGGCCAGACCTGCAGTCACATCACGAACTGAAACCCCTGGAGCTCTGCCAGTATCCGTTTAGCGCCAAGCAAAAGGAGGTTTGCATCAATCCGTATCACTACAAGCGTGTGGAGAGTCCGGTTCTACCGCCAGTTCTCGTTCCACGGCACTCGGAATTCGCACCCGGACACTCGATGCTGCAGTTTCCCCACGTCCCGGAGCCGAGTATGCCGCACAATGTGAGCTACTCGAACAGTGGCTTCAACTCGCACAGCTTAAGCACCAGCAACACATCGGTGGGCAGTCCCAGTTCCGTGAACTCCAATCCTAATTCACCGTTTGACAGTTTGGCGGGAACGCCGCCACCTGCCTACAGTCCGTCCGAGGACGGCAACTCGAACAATCCGAATGATGGGGGACAGTTGCTGGATGCTCCCATGGGCGATGTGGCCCAGGTTAGCTATGCAGAGCCCGCCTTTTGGGCCTCGATTGCTTACTACGAGCTAAACTGTCGGGTGGGCGAGGTATTCCACTGCAACAACAACTCGGTGATTGTGGATGGCTTTACGAATCCGTCAAATAACTCGGATCGCTGCTGCCTCGGCCAGTTGAGCAATGTAAACAGGAACAGCACCATCGAGAATACACGCCGGCATATAGGTGAGTCAAATTGTTGATGATAAATAATTTATTTAATAACTTTTATAGATTGTAATTTGAATGGTCTTAAATTAGAATATGAAAAGTAAAGTAAGGTCTTCTTTCTTCCCACAGGCAAAGGCGTCCATCTCTACTATGTCACTGGTGAAGTCTATGCCGAATGCCTCTCGGACTCTGCTATTTTCGTTCAGTCCCGGAACTGCAACTACCATCACGGATTCCACCCAAGCACCGTATGCAAGATCCCGCCGGGCTGCTCACTGAAGATCTTCAACAACCAGGAATTTGCTCAGCTGCTGTCGCAGTCGGTGAACAGTGGATTCGAGGCCGTCTACGAGCTAACCAAGATGTGCACGATCCGGATGTCGTTCGTGAAGGGCTGGGGGGCGGAATACCATCGCCAGGATGTGACATCGACGCCCTGCTGGATCGAGATCCATCTCCATGGGCCGCTCCAGTGGCTTGACAAAGTGCTCACGCAAATGGGCTCACCGCATAATGCAATTAGTTCGGTATCCTAAGCTTAAGATAAGGAGAGGTCCCCAAAACAATACAAAAACCAGTAGCTAAATGAGTATGTGTGAGTGAGGATGATGAAAGCCAAGTGTGTAAAAGACGTAGAAAACACAGGACAAAAGAGCAAGGAAGCGAAGCCTAGGTTTAGTTACGACGAAGAAGAGTTCTGCAGATTTAAATATAGATGTACGCAAGCAAGCTGCTACTCAAACACCACCCGCCCTTTGCCCATATTTTATAGTTTATATATCGTATGATTTTCTATGCGAATGTCATTCCTAACGCTAAAATAAAGTTATGAAACAAACAACAACCGCAAGCTAAGAAACCAACTACAAAATGGTATAACTATTTACAAATGATCTACACGCTATAATAATAATAATAATGATCTATATGCCCATTGGCAAAGTGTTGTTGTTCCAAGAAGTCTATTTCAAGTGCTAACTATGTGTCATGGCAAAACTGCTTTAAATATACAACAAAAAACTATAAAAAAATACACATTTAATTAATCCTACCTACTTTAAATACCTAAGCAACCAGAACTTTAAATGCAATACGTTTCTTAAAATGATTATTATGTTTTTCTCATTTTCTCCCCGTTTGCCTTTGATCAACGAATTCAATGTTCAAAAAGTTGATTTAAATTTATGTTTTAACTAATTTTAAGTTGAAAAAATAAAATTACAAAAAAAAAGAAACAATGTAAAAGTGGAAAATGCATCGTTTAATTAAATCATTTTCCCAAACCATGATCTTTTGTTAAGTTAAGTAGGACCAGGAAAAAACCAAGCTCCTTTTTTACATATATATAAAAATACATGTATAATTTTTTTTTTAAATCATCGTACACTATAATTTTCATAGTCTTATAATTTCTCTTTAATTTTCTGTTTAAAGTTAAACATTACGTGTGCCGAAACATCAATAGTTGATAAACAAAAAGAAACCACAACAAAGGAAAATTTTTGAATAAAACGTTTTTGACTTATGAGTTTGCTTTATTTTTTCAAATTTGTAATGAATTAATGTAAATTTAGCTGTAAATTAGAGGCTTTGGCAAGAGACACGGCCTTCACTAATGTAATAATTGTGCCTATTCAATGTTTTACGTGCGCCTTTAGTGCTTTTGTATGATCAACGACAAGGGTTAAAGACCCTCAACATATAAAAATACTCAGCCTAGCGAAGGAAAAAGATGAAACTATAATGTTTGCCTTAAAGTTTACAAAGTTTGAGCCACAGTCCACACACAATATGCTATATATTGCCTTAAACAACACGCCTTGCATGCCATTTAATGTTTAACGAAATCTTGTAATGATACAAAATATATAAATTACGAATATAAATAAAGAAATAACTTCAGAGGATGAATAGTTTTCTTATATTGGATCAATTTGAAATGTATATCAAGAGGAAAACTCCGATATAATTTTAATAAATATCGAAAAATTAAAAACAGCATTCAGCTTTGAAATATGTCAAAAATTTAATTTAACTGTTTCAGTAGAGTTTTCTGATGTTTCAATTAATACCGAAAATGTTCTTAATCTAAATTTTATTAATTTTTCTTTTTTATTTCACTTGTATTGGGCTCTCTATTATAAACTCTTTCGAAATATTCTGTTTACGTTAACCACAAATTTTTGAATTATTTAGTTATTTTATACGTAAATTTTCAATATTTATCAAGTTCGTTTTACCAAATAATTACATTTTCTTATTTCCCAAAAACCTGTAAAATGTTTGTTTGTTTCTTTATAATTCCTTAAAATATTAAATATTATATTTTTTATTTACACAATTTTCAACTGATAACAGTCCTATCGATACGTGCATCGATAGTATAAGGCGAGTTGGCAGCTCCATTTATCGGCATACCGAAATCAAGTTGGCAGCCATCTGTTGTTTTTTTTTCCCATCAACATGAGCGCTGTGAACGATCCCCTGGAATTATTGTCGAATAAGGGCAACCGTACGCCCACTTTCCTCGGCCCACTATGGAATCCGGTGACCTGCGGTCTTGCCGGAGTGGGCGTGGCCATTTTCGTCAACTGGGGCTTCCGTAGACCCGTGCTTTCCGGTGAGTTTTCCCTGCGTTCCATGTGACGTAACATTGTTTTTGTCCAAACTAACTAATGGATAATGGATAATATTAACTGAATTATCTCCGTTTTGCAGGCATCCAGAAGCACATTGCCTTTGGCGCCATCGGAGTCGGTGCCGGAACCTATTTCGACCAGAAGAGGAACGAGTACCTGGCCAAAAGAGATGCCGTCCTCAGGCACTACATAGAGCTGCATCCCGACGATTTTCCCGTGACGGGTGAGTAGCAGGGCCGGAAGGGTGCTCCTCTAAACGTTCTTTTAAATCCCCTTTTTTTGATTTTCAGAACGCAAGAAGTACGGCGATGTCCTGGAGAGCTGGGTACCAGTTCGTTAAATGGCTTATAAATTTGTTGTAAAAGCGACCGATGGAAGTAGTTAATAAAACAGCTTTAATTGTACTATAATTTGGATATCTCAAGCTGATTCGAGAGCTATGCGGGGGACATGGAAATGGAAAAACGGTATTTGTTTGGTATCTTTTGTTTGGAGCAATTCAAAATTTTCAGATTTAGGGTTTGAAAGAATCAAACTACATTTTTAAGTTCTAAATTGAGTAAAAATTTAAAATAAACAATCATCAAGGAGGTGAGTGCTGTGAGAATAGGAGACGTTTAGTTTTAGAAGTCTCTTCTTAAATGTTTATAATTATTCTTAAATATTAGTAAGTTGAAGAAGGACAATTCACTTTGTAAGATATCCTTAAATCCCCATATGTTTTTACAATTTATAAACCAGTAAGTAATGTTAATAAGTATAAATGGTATGGTAAAAAAATATTCTCTGAGAGTCTTTCAAAGATCTTTGTCAGAATTAAATATTTCAAAATCACAAAAAAATTATTTACATAATTTTAAATAAATTTTTGCAAGTAAGAGATATATACATATATATATTTAAGAAATATTTTTTTACACGTTTCGTATTTTAAACTTTGACATGTTTTTACATGTCTGAGAAAATATAGTTCCGGTTTTCACCACTGCAACTCAGCTATAAAGTTTCCTATAAATTTGTATTATTAAAATTGGGCAAATTGTAATTATTTTTGGTTGTTCCCATTTATATATTCGTTTGATTTAATATAAAATATAAGGAAAAAGTTACTCACTTGCTATTAACACCATATATTTCTATCGTTTTTAAACTATCAATGTTGTTTTCCGATAAATTTTGAGCTTTTTGACGTTTTTCAAATGACTTCAAAAGCGCGCAAAGGTGAATTTCTCATATTTGCGTCGTCCAATCAGATGTTTACCTCCAACATGGCGAAAGGCGATGTCGCCAGAGAAAATCCAGAAGCTTATTCGGTAGGATGTGGCTGCGCAAAAAACTGTTTAATTAAAAACTAACAGCCCAACACAGGAAGCTGAACAAAACGCGCTAAAAAAATCTATAAAAGTGACTGAAACAAAAACTAAAAAGTGAAAAATATAACAAGAAATATTTAATAAAAAATTCACAACTAATATTTTTTGTGCATTTTAAAGCCGTGTTTTTTTGCGTTCGTTTAAGTGTGTGTGTGTATCGTCGTTTTACCGTTACAATTTACGAAAACCGAAAATAAAGTGAAACTAGTGATAATACAAATAAATGCCAATAATAATTAATGGTTAAGCATAGCAAGCAAATTAGTGTTCATTAATTGCAGAAAAAAAAACCAAAAAAGTTTTTTGCTCCGCTTCTTTAAGCTCTTTCGTTGAGCAGAAAACAACAACCGAAAAACAGCAAAGACCCCAAGAGCCGTCGGCTTTTTCCAACTGGGAATTTTCTTATCAGAAGCAGAAGCAACGATTATGGCAAAGGTAAGGCTAAAGCTCTTAATTTTATTAGAAAATTATTTATTTATGAACAGATGCTCTCTCCTTTCTCTCCTCCCATTTTTCCCACGACTTTGCTTTGGCAAATGTTTGTCAATTTGGTTTTTATTTTATTGCTTGTGTGTGCTTGTGCTGCGAGTGGGTTGATTTTCACTTGTTTGTATAAATTATGCATGGTTTTTGTGGATTTCGCATTGATTTTCTTCCTCCGAAGAAGGAATCGATTCCCCACGACATTTTATGATGTGTAAAATTGAACGGGAATTGTACGGAACGAAAGACAAAAATGTTGTGCAGCCATAAAAATACGGTTATACTGTAAAAAAAGTACACTCGAAGTTAAAGAAAAAGAAGTAACATGGAAGAGATTTGGGTTCGGCCGTCGTTAAGGGCATACAACGGGAATAAGAACCAAGAGGAGATTGCAAAATAACAATAAATGCTAAATATACACATGGTTTTTTTATTATATTTATTTTTTATATACATATATTAAAAGCTTCATTAAGCCAGCAACAGATAAGGATTTGTTTTTATGATTGCGTATTAGGAAATCTTTGTGCTTCAATTAAGAGTTTAATATTATTATAATATAGCAATATTTCACAAAAATAAATCTTAAAACACTAGTAAAAAAGTTTTTGTGATTGTAGATTCTTCGCACATCAAACCAAAGTCGGTCAAAAGCCCAAAAGGTGTTACTTTAAATACGAAAAATGTGGATTTGTTTACTTAAGTTCTTAATTAATTTAAATTATTTTAAAAATACGTCTAAAAGAATATTTTGAATCTCAAAAACTCGACTTAACAGCAGCTTAATGCTCAAAGATAGCTCGCTTTTTCCTTTAAACGCCTTCAAATCCTTTCCATCAGGCTAATGAGTGAATTTCTCAAGTACTTTTCTCCCGTCTCCGCCTGCAAATAAAGGGAAAACCCGCTTATTGACCAATCTGCACGCTATTACGATGTACGGCCGTAAAAAGCCAAGGAAGGAGCCCAGTCCCCCGCAATCCCAATCAACCGATTGAAGGTCCGGAAAAAGCCGAAGTAAAAGCCAAGAGCCATTTTTCACTGGCCAAGCGAAAAGTCTTAGTGGGAGAAATGAGCTACATTTTTCGTGAAGTTACTTTTAGCTCGCGGCAGTTCGTCGATATAGGTGTACGTACATACATATGTGGTGCAGTAGCTCCACCAAATTTGGTAATACATTTTTTATGGCCCACCACGGGTGCCTTTGAGCTGAGTGGCTGGAAAACCCCCCTTAACAGTCGCGTGTTTGTTCCAAAGAAGTGTGTCGGTATCTCTCGTGACAGGTTTGTTTTGCTCTTGATAAATTACCTTGCCACTTGTCGCTCAGTGTGAAATTATTTTCCTCTTCAAGTTTTCCACCCTCAGTTTTCCCTAAATTTTCTTTGGGACAATTTGAGTTTTGTGATTTGCACGCCGAATCGCGGCCAAATGTCTCCAAGTCAAGTTCAGACTTCCACAGCAGCACGGAAAATGTTTTACAATTGAAATTCTTGAAGGGACGCTTGGGTTTCTAGAGATGTTATTATTATTATTATGTACTTGGGGCTGAGGGTCCTGGGTAACCCAACAGGCAGAGACTCACTAGAGCGCCTTAGTTTGTCCTTTGTCCTTGAGTGGCCTTCGAAAGCGGAATAAATATGTTTCAGGGGGATGCCAGGAGCAAGTTTGATGGAGGCAGCGGCTATCCTAAAAAAAACTACAAAAACAAAACACTGTAAAAATCTAAAGATAATAAATAATAAACAATAAATATACCCCAAAAATATACACAATACTAAAAATTAAATTGTTTCTATTCACTTTTATTTTAATACATTTTTGATTAAAAATTTTAAACTTTATTTAATTTAATTTGTAGTGTGAAATTTGTTTATGTTTTTCGTTTTCTAAAACAACAATAACCGTGTAAATATATTTTGTTGCTTTCTTCTTTTTGTCGCGACATTCTCATAATCATTCGCCTCCCTTTCATTTCGCCCACTTTTCATCCATTTTGTCGTCCCGCCATACAGCCCCTATATCATTATGTGCAGCCTGTAGTATTATTATATTCCTTCCATACAATTGTCGACTTGGTGGGGGCTCGCCTCTTATATACATTTTTTTCATGTCAACAGCAGCAGGCGCAACCGCAGGAGCTGCCTGCCTGCAAGTGCAAGGATAACAGGGCGAAACTAACAATAAGTAGAAGTCATCTTTCTTGTAATACATATAGTGGCCCTACTTAGGCGGAAAGGATCTCGAAAAGCAGCTTGAAATATTGTATGAACAAAATAATAAGAGTCCAAGGGTTGATTAAATTGAGAGCGGTATGAAATGTACATTATGTTTTTGATAGCAGGAAAAGGATTATAAAATTTAAACATTTTTTCTGTTAGTTAGTGGAGGGAGGCTTCTTTTAAAATATAATTTTTGGTACTTGTATTTGGAAGTATAATTCAAAACAATTTATTTCAACATCTACAAATTTTTCAGAAAAATTATATTTCATTTCGTAGATAGTCCCTTTTCCAGAATAATTTTTTTCAACATTAGAGTCGCAAGGTGTTTCTGTTTAGGGACTAAAAATAAAAGAAGAAATAAAAGAGTACACTTTCCCTACTTTACAATATAGTTTATATTGCAATAACTTTCAAAATGGCTTTTACTATGGGAGTCATCGTTTTAGCCTGTAGCCTGTAGCATCTGTTTCAATATGGAGAGCTTATCCACCCTTCGCCCACATCACATACCTTCCCCCTTTATTGCTGAAGCCCCAAATCCCCCAATGGCTGATCCACTACACGTTTTCCATTTATGATTTATGCTGCAAGCGGTGGTATTTTCTGTATTGACTTAACGCGAAATGCGTTGCATGAAGCCCCCAGAAAGGCTCAGAGAGCCGCATTTACCCCCTTCGATATTTCGCTGTGGAGGAATCCGTATTTACGGTGGATTTTGGTGCACGATAATTTATTGATATCCTGTTTTCCTTTCTGTTCACATATTGAAATGCATCTGCATGTTATTGGCTGTCATTGTGCATATTAAACAAACAGGAAAACCCCCATGTCGATATTCTCTATGCTAATTTGCCATATAATCGGTATTGGCTTTGTTTGCAGTGCACGAGAAATGTGAAACTTGTTAATTATTTAAATTTGCATAATTAATTAAAAACAACAGATAAATGGCATGATTAAATACAAATTAGGTTATTTATGAACAAAGGAATATTGATTCTATAAAACTGAAAATAATTTAAAAGTATGTTCTTTATAATTAAAGTTATTTAAAATATTTTTATAGTTTTTAAATCTGTATTTTAGAGACTACAAAATTGAAGAAATTAATAAATAATATCTATATTCACAACTATATATTTTGAAATGCGAAAATGTATCTAAAGATAAGTCTCTATAAAGATCTACACTTTAGTAAGCTTCTATACATAAATTATTAAAAATGTAAACTGCAGTAAAATGTGTCTAAGAAGTGTTATGCCTTGTCTTAAAAATCCTTAACCTTATTTTCCAAAGTCATCATCATTTTTCTTGCATATTTGTGGGCGTCACATGCACCATGAATTTTCTTCTTCATTTTACTTTAGCTTGCATTTTTGTGTCCACCATTTGAAATTCCAGAGGAAACACGTGTGGCAGAGAAAACGCGGCAAAATTTTGCAAGATTCTTAAGCTAATTTCATTAAATATTCATGGCCAACGGCACGACAATGCACACGAAGTGCACACACATTTAGTCAGCGACATAGATATATGTAGGTACAGACAGAGCTGCAGTGATGCTGTTGTATATACACTTTAGAAAAATATATAGTAAATTTATCTCTAAGAGTATTATAAAATAAATTAAATATTTCCTTTTTTTTTAATCCGATTTAAGGTGGAAAGTTGAACATAAACCGCAAAGTTTTAAATTCAAACCTCCTTTTTTTTTTGCTCTGTAACCGTTTGTCAAAAATGTCAAACTGCCTTAGGTTTTAACGTGGCTTGCAAAGTTTTTTGGGCCGCACATGTGCGGCTCAGTCGATAAAGCGAGAATGGCAGGGCTTTGAGAGGCAGGCGAAGGATATTTCCCTCATCCGCCCCAATGTTGTCCCGAAATTAATAGTGTTTGCTTTTGGGCCTCAGCAGCAGCAGTGGTAGTTGTGACAGCAGCTGCTCCTGACAAATTTTCATTTAATCATTCGACGCCCTCAAGGTTTTAAGGTAATTTGATTGCATTTTGATAGATGATCTCTAAATAAACCAAGCAACTAAAAAAATATATATATTTGGTAAAAGATCTAAACACATTTGATAAATGTTTCTGTCCTGTGTTATGATGGCAGCCAATTGTCTAGTGCGGCAAGTGGTTTTTCTCTCCAATCTCTCTCTTTCTCTCTCTGCTTTGCCACTAATTTAATTAAGTTGCACAAAAAAGCAGAGACTATAGTCTCCTTTTTTGTGTGGAATGCCTGGGGAGGGTTGCAACATGCTGCATAAATAAAGGGGCGCAGATAAAAACGCTTGGAACAACATTGGGGCTGACCCCAGACAGAGTGTCGTGTCCTTTTGCAACCCGGAGACCATTAAATGGCCTGACAAATGGTATATTAGCATTGGGCAATTTTAGCCTGGGAAAAGGATTGGTTTTAGTTAGCTTGGGAAATACCCTAAGTGGGGGAAAACTGCAGAGATTTTTGATTAAAAGAAGGTTTTTAGGCGAATAAAATATAGCTTAATAATCCGAAATATTAGAGAAGAATTAGGTTAAAGTTATATTATTTTTAAATAGGGAAAAGTTGTTATATGGGTAGGTTACTTTATGCTTTTCCGTTTACAATGAAAGATAACTTCAAAATATATTTAATATTTCTTAAATACTATTCTGTAATATTCCCCATTAACTATTGTTATTTAACTTCCTGTTTTTTCTTTGTCTATTTAAAAACAGGATAATTATCAACTTATTTA